GAGAGAGAGAGAGAGCGCGCGCGGGGTTGGTCGGCCCCGCGGTAGGAAAACGCGAAACTCACCGCGCCGAGTAGCGATATCGATTTGCCCGTGTCTGCGTTCGATGCGATGTGAAAAAAAAAGAAGTTGGCCGCGGCCTTCTGACGTTCACCGATAGTCGCCGCCCCGCAGTCCACGCTGATGCCTTAACGATCTTCTTCGTTCTCCTCTTGAGATCTCTTTGAGAAAATATCTCCTCGCGCGCTTCCTTTTCATTCGGAGACTCGCACGGTTTCATATCGGTCAAAGTGATTCATGAGGATGTATTCAATGCACGAAATGCTACATCGATGCATTTGTCACGATGCAAAAATCAACAATTAATAGAAATGTGATAAAACACAAATGTAATATAACGCATTGCCTGCATCTCTTTATATGTTTTTTTACATTTTCATACAAGAACCTTTTATTATTCTCAACCGTCAAGTTTGGAAAATAAAATCAATTTCGCCGCACATTTTGTGCACGCTTCGATCAGCTGGGAAAGACAAGTGGTCGAAGTCAAATTGAACAGACAATACTGAACAGATTATAGACAACTGTCATTGTCAAACTTTGCAAATAAATCCTATTTTCTTCGGAAAGTTCAATAATCATAAAGTCCTGAAAACGATATCGCTACCGATATGTCGTAACCATAAACTGGAACTCTCTCTCTCGTTTATTGAACCTATTATATCACTATCGTATCCAGCATATTCCAGATATTCGAATAAATCGACTCCCGTCTCGTTTTTCAAGATCATTTTTAACCATCGTAAACTCGCTTTACTTCGACTTGTAAATTATTGTAAATCTAGCTTGAATCTAAAGAGTTTAGATTCAAGCTAAACAAGTCTAAACAAGTATTTTTACAAGAAATGGAAAGCAAATTATTTAATTTTTATTAATTTTTTTTAATAAACTGAAGCAATATCTTGTATACAATCCACAATAATTAATGCCTTTTTAAATGTCCTTTGTGTAACCAACGGCTCGAAATCATTGAAGATTCGTTTGAAATAACTATCAAGTATAATGGAAAAGATAAAATATAAAATAAAATTTATAAAAGTATTTTAGATCTCTCGGTGTCCAGATGACTTTACTTTCCAAGAATGGAAACAAAGAGAAAGATCGCGCGTGCGATCCAGGGAAGCCGGCTTTGCGAGAGACACGCGAAGATCAGGGAAAGGTCTTAATGAAGATTCGTGGGAAGAAGCGCAGAGAAGAAACGTATCTTCGTCATTACCCGGCGATGGCGACGTTCAGGTAATGCGATTGAGATTTCTACGAGCAGGTGGTCCTCCGTAATAAATCGTATTGTAAGCGATCCCCTTGGGCAGCCACCTGCGAATCGATATCTCGACCGGTCCAAGGCGGCCCCGCATGCAAATTTGGGGAGAATCATGAGAGGAAAGGGAGCCTAGCTCTTCCTGTCGCTTCTCGCCACACTCTTCCTACCCCGTTTCATCTTCTTCTCGCTCTTTCTCGCTCGACCTCTCTCGCCATGTCGGCTCTATGAACACGGAGGGCTCTTTCCGGCCGGTATAACATTATCACGAGGATACCCTCTCCATCTTTTCATTTTAAAACTCGTACCCACCGAACTTAATTCATTGAATGACTGAAAAAAGAAACTTAGATCTGTATCTTCGTTGCCTCATTTTTAACATTAAACGTGACTATTTAATTCTTTCCTTTTTGATTCCTTTATTTATTTCTTGACTTACGTGCTATATGAAATATTTATTGTCATTTTAAGTTGACAACAACACCAGCATTTCGAAACTGAAAGAAAAATAAAATGAAGAATAAAGCGGATGGATGAAATTTAATTAATTGAATTCAAATTAATAGGTATCTATATCTCTTAATATGATATATGCTCTACTGTAATGAATGTACCATCTTAATTTCGTACACAGCGATACATATCCTGTATTATTAATATTAATCATATAATGTATTATTTAATATAAATTGTACAATTGTTACATATACGTCTTTAACGTAGTAATTAACGGTATATGTGAGGATAATATTACATTGATTTAGTCATAATCGGATGATCCCCGAGGCTACCAGAATTAAAACGTTTATTTGCTTATAATTTCGTTAATCGTAAACTCGATATATGAGGAAAACGCGTCGACAAATATAACAATATTTTATTTATTTGTCGCGTATATACAGTAGTAACAATGGAAATGATTTTGATATATCTATCTTGAAATCGAAATAAATAGGAAATCGTTCGGTAATCGTTCTCGGTAATCGCGCGCGGTCGTGTCTTCTCCGAGGGTGCGCGCTCAAAGGTAAACCAGTATGAATGGAACGTCCCGAATCCCAAAGATACGTAACATCGCACGGTGTTTGCGCGCGGCGCAAAAGAAAGCGAGCGACGAGCAGAAAAAGAGGAGAGGCCCGCGCAGCGGCAGCCGGTCCGGCGAGTTTTTGACCGTCTGGCGCTAACTGTTGGCTCCCGTACTACCTTCGCAGGTATCGCACGGTACCGTCCCACACCAACGTCGTCCCACTCCAACCGCATGCGGGTCCTATCACGGACCCTTCCTTCGATCCCTCGGACGCCCACAATCGCCACATTCGCAACCTCGAATGCCCTACAAATGTTATTCACAACAGCACTCGCACGCGTATGTGCGTGATGTTTCCTAAGATATTTGACTGACCTTGCTACCAATCTCATGTCGATTACCTGACGATGAATCGTGATTTTTCATTAGAGCGCGAAATCGATCCTTGATTGAGAAAAGAATGGAGATTAAAAAAGCAAATTCACATTAAACAAGTTTCTGTTATGTATGTACGAAGAGAATAGAAGCGACATATATATATATATTCATTTTCTTCCGAGATATCGATGAACAGCTTTATGTGGAATCATTCTCTCGATCGAACAAGTACGACGACTCTTAGCCACACGATAAATCGAGTTAGCTATACGTGGCGTTGTGCATCGAGAACGCAAAGATATGCGGCGCTAAGCATATCCGCCACAAGCGGATGTTTATATATGCGCCAGCATCGCTTAACGGGGTTTAGCGCCAAACGGTTCCGGTTTGCTATCCCCTCGCGAAATAAATCTCAGTTATTTCGGTCCCGCATTAACGTTGTCGCCTACCTCGCCTAGTCTCGTCTCGTCACTTTTGTATAGAGAAAGTTGCGTAAATTCCCTCATTAACTTTCCATCTCAACCGTCGTTAGCAACTAACAACTAAATTCAGGATTATAGGAAGGCAACGGCGATGACGCGTTTATCGTAGCTTATCGTAACACGAAGCGATTTAGCTTTTATTTATGTGCATATTTCAAGTTAATTGGAAATTGTTGTGCGATCATGAAAGCTTCGGAACACATTGTCATTGTCATACGTTTGATGTTTTAGATTTCAGTGAAATAATATAATGTGTGGTATATTCATATATTCGAAAAATTTTTAATTTGTTATTGTCTAAATATTAGACGAATATATTATACACAAAAAAAAACAAAAAATTTTTTGTTGAAGTATCTAAAAATTTGGTTAGACAGATCTAAAAATAAATTTGTTGAGCTATTAAGATAATTATATTCAAATTGATTACTGGAATATCAAAAGTTTTTGTAGAATTATCATCATGCTTGAGCGTCTTATTAGTTTGGTAATTATTTTAATGGTCCAACAAAATTATTTTTAGATCTGACCAAATTTTTAGATACTTAAACAAAACCGTTTTTTCCGTGTATGCGTTAAAAAACTGCATCAAATATCGTCCTGTACCTAATAAACTTTATTTATATCACGAACTAATTTTAGATAAGTCTCTTTCAGATACTATAATTTATGACTTTAGAAGAATACAAGATGTAAGCGCCGATCGAGAGATCGACCACTAAGCGATTTAAAATGAGTGTCGTGGAAAAGAAATATCTTTTGCTGTGTGAAGTGACTTATGTGAAAGAACGTACAAGTAATTCTGCACGTATGTTTGCCGCGATGAGCTAAATTGCTCGGTTTACTCGACGGACACGCTTGGAATGCTGGAATGAAACTTATAGTGAACCCGAAACAAAAAAAAAAAGAATGATGTTTGTGCTACCATATGGACTTAGGGCATAACTTAGTCATTTGGATCATCGCGATGCCATGTCACTTTCGATGTGAGCCTGAGAATTTGTCAATCCCATCGCGAATAATTACGAGCATTAGAAATCGAGAATATAACTGTCAATCTATTTTTTTCTATCTATTTTTTTGTTTCAAATTGTATCATATTTATTTTCAACTTAAAAGAAGACAAGAAACAGTTTTGGAAATGAACAAATGTTTTAAATATTTTAACCTTTCGATCGTATTTGGAAATAGCATTGCAATGTGACAAAAATAGGTTATTTTCTACAAAAATAGATTACTTTCAATAGTCAATATTGTTGGAAAACAAAGATTTTACTTCATAAAATCGCGAAATATCAATATTAATTTCAACAATTAAATGTGAAATTTCAATTTCACATTTAAAATTATAATTTCCTTTTTTTAAAGATATGAATTTAAGACGTTCTGAAGCTCTTCGATTGTACTTTATATATAGCTTTGATTTTTCAGTCTTTCTTTAATCATCATCATACTTCAATAATAATTTATTTTTCTAAAGTCGTTCGTTAAAATTTAGTTAATTTCTATAGAATTGTTAATGTTTTATTTTAAAATTAGATTGTCTGATAGATTACCATGACGTATATCGTGACAAAAACCTCATCAATGATTAAAGGATGTTCGTCACTCTTTATGAATTCACCATCATTCAATCCTCATAAAATCCCCTTCTGTGTCACCCTCGTTGCGTTTTGCATCATTGGGCTTTATCGCGGTCAAAAGGATGGTCCGACGAGGATGTTTGACTCGGTGTTTATCGACTGAATCACGCTTGGCGCCGGCGCTTATCCGGCGCTATCTCCATTTTCATCTTCTACCTTTACAACCTCGGTATTTTGATATTGTTGCTGTCTCACATTTTAAATTCATATAATCGAACATATGCCAAATAAATAGAACGCGATAATAACAGATAATAACAGATAAACACATGAATTTCGTGAAATACGTAAATGTTGTGAGAATTTAATTGTGTGAAAAAATTTTTCTCTATTTCCTACGTAATTCTCATATTATATTTCTCTTATATTTCGACGAAATGAAACGATCTGAGAGAGGAGAAACCAAACGCCGATCGATAATTGCGTCTCGAAGATAACGCCCGAATCTGTCATGCGAAAATATCACCGGCTATGCCTTTTACTCTCGTACGTCCTTTATATTCTTTGTTGGGTCGCTTCCAGAAGCGATTTGCATTTAACGAAGCTACTTTGTTCCCGTTGCTCACGCCATCGAAGCTCTCGAACATAGATAACCGTGAGGAATATAACGTAAATATTGAAAACTTGTAAGAACGATGATTAACGATAAAAGAGATATTCAGAAAAAAGGACATGTATGTAAAATGATGTAACTATGGAAGTACTACAACACGAGTATAATGATACTCGTGACGCAAACAAATTTTAAAAATTGTTCGGTTATTTAACAAATTAATTAATAAACAAAATGTTTATTGTAATTGATTAATAGACAAGACATAATTTTTTTAAATTCACAAATAGGTTTATAAGGAAACAGGAGACACTCGCCACTTAAAGTTATGCCACTGAGTCTGGAGAGCAGCTGGCTTTACATGAAATTCATTAAAACCACACAAGCAGAGACCGTGGTTTTCTCTGGAAAAAAAAGGGAGAAGCTTCAGGTTTTAGAAGAGTGTTACTGGTAATCTCTCCACGAGGCACTTCAAGCAGCAACATTAAAAGGGAAAATGGAAACTTGTGAATATTGTATTGATATACATAACGCTTATGTTAATTCTGAAATTTATCACATTGGATTCTAAATATACTTGCATAGATTTTTACTTGTACGTGTCATTCAAATAATAAATTAAATATGGAATTTTTAAATGTGCCGAAATTTTTAAATATTAGAAACTTTTTTGTTTTCTTTTTTCATTCGTATACAACATGAATAAAATTATCCATAAATGCAACAAGGAATCTCTCATTCGCAATTTCTTATAATACGCATAATAATTAACTATTTTAAATTTAAATATTTGTCTAGACGCAATGATCACAAATATAATAAAATTCGTTAATAATCTATGATCGTAATAATAAAATATATAATTTTCTAAAAAGCATGACTACTAAAATTTCGGAAATGCTTGTTCATGGCCATGCATCTTTATGCATCATTGATTGTGATAATCGACCTATTTGCGACTACTCGTTAGCAGCTCGTTAACCTTACTTGCCGAAGAACCCTTAATTATTGCAAACCAAAAAACGAAGGTTTAATCGCCTCCATAACTAAACATTCTGAAAATTATCGCTACTAAAATTCTGCAAATCCTGAAATTTTCCATACAAATACACTATATGTATCTTTTATTTACATAATTTAATTTTTCGATATGCAAAATATCAAATGCAACAGTTTAAATTTTTAATATTTGATTTGATAGCAAATCACTTTTTTCGAGCGATACTGAAAACATTTCTTTCCTATGTTTCGTCAAATATTCTATTAGTTAATAACATCATAACATCTATTAGTTAATTGTGGATATTATTACGAATTGTACGAGTTATCGAGCTGCAGACATCAAACTAAATATCGTTGGTCAGTCGTAATGTGAAAAAGTACAAGCTACTAGCTGCAAACGGGACAACAATGTAAGAGGACAAAATTCAAGATCTTCATCTTTCAAACTTCATCCCGAGATTAATCCGAGCATTCTTAAAGGGGAGCGATGAACGTTGCAAAGGAGGTGATTCACGTCGCGGCGTGATTATATTTAATAACTTTACATGCGACTGAGCACGATCGATCCGGAAGCCCGACTCCGGGCGCGGAGTCGTCCTGGCGCAGGATAACAGGTGCTTTTCGCTCCTCCCTCCTAGAGAAACTCATACTCATGCGTCGCCAAGTAGACCTTCGAGAACTCAACCGATCTCCCGGCTTTGGAACAGTTTCGAGCTCGCTCCTCGTGCTACCACGTGCCAATATTTACCAGGATAGCACGAGAGAGGATTTCCGCTTCTGCGTAGGGATCGAGCGGTCAGAAGTCAGAGGCAGATGTACGGTAATAAAAGAAAAAAAATTCGTTTCTCGACACGCTATAGGAGGGAAGGATACGACAGGTTAGAAGGATAAGCGGATTCGAGAGAGCGTGCTCGCGTGCCGAAGATCGCTAAGGACAATAGAATCCTTGGTGAAGGATCAGAGAAGCAGGACGTTGGGATGGTACACGAAACGACGCGGCACTTTCATGCGCGTTGCTGATTGGAGGAACGGGGGAGGGGGGTGCCTCCCCTGATCCGACTTTCGTTAGAATGCGTCGTATGATACGTTGGCCTTAAGTCGACTGACTTTTTAATCAATCTCGCAAGGATTTGACTGCGACAAGTCGATTTAATCAAATTACATGTCTTTCTTATCTATCTAAATAAACGTGGCACGATTGCACATCGTGTTAGATATGACAAATAAGTATATTTTGGTATTCCGAGTAAACGAGTAAAGAATTCAACAGCTAGTCGATGATCGATATCAGAGAATGTTATGCCAAGAAAGTTGGGCATTAATAAATTGGAATCTTAGAGAAGAATTGTGCATTGCGAAATAAAAAACTTTTTTTGTATTAAAGTATATAAAATTGTTGATTTAAATATTATTAAATATTTCACAACCTTTCTTTGGATAAAGCGCGCGTGAGTATATGTGTGCAGAAATGCATTCAAAGATATCAAATAATAAGAACAAGATAAATTTTAAATAATGTGAATAAAATATAATTTAAATATTTGCTGATTAATTGAGCTTATGATTAACTTTATGGTAATACAAAAAACTGATATACTTTGTGACACGCAATATATATGTTAACTCGAAATTGTATTTCTATTTTTGATTTTAATTGTAAAATTTATGAATTTTAAAATTGTGTAATAGAGGAATTTAAATAAATTGAACATCTACTTTTGAAATAAATAATTTAAATAAATAATTTTTATTTTGAAATTCAAAATAGGAATTTTTCAAAATAGGGATTATCTTTCATAGATTCTTATTATTCTAAATAGGAATTGTGGTATTAAGTAGTGCCAAAAGAGATCATTAACTCGATCTAATAGATCAAAGTATCAAAATCAGATATGAAAATTCTAAATGAGATTGAAAATAAAGGAAAAATCGGAAATATACAGGATATATACTTTTTCAATAAAAAACAGTTGTTGGTCGATAGAAAAAGCTTTGAAAATTGAACTTTTCTAAGATACGTACAATGTTTTCTATATTTCCCTTGTTTTTGTTGTTTACTTAACCGCATCTTCTTCGTCTGTCTTCAATCCAAAAAGACAAAAATGAAGTGCAGCATTTCTCAGAAAGATCTGTCATTATCCAATATGTTTGACATAACACGTGCCCTCGAATACACTTTGCGTAGGAGTATACTTGGCGGGGAACCGAGACCCTTTCTTCGGTTTACACTACGTACGGCCGTAGCGCGTAGATCGTGCGATCCCCTCGTTCCTTATTCTAATGAATCCGGTTAGCCTTAAATATGGTCGGGAGCCTCCCCTTTTATTGGTTCTCGGACCGAGGGATCCCCTGGGGCCCGGAGTCACGCGATACCGGCCCCCTTTCCGCGGCGGCAACGGCGGCATCGTATCGATGGTACCCCTGCTCCACCCCTCTCGCAGAGCTCCAGACCAAAGAGTACAGGAGTACCCGCGTAATCAGAGAAGCGCCGCTAATTATTGCCCTAATCAAGCGATGCGATTACAACCGATTACCAAGCGCGTTTCTCGATGAATCTTAATTACATATCGTCTCTACAATGTTCTCTCGCGGGTGGTATAATCGAGGTCGTTGTAAATTTTTCTCCATAGATTTTGCCAATTCTTTGCAAAGAATACATTTATGCCACGCGAATATAAATCAAAGAAAAAGGATTAAGATGACGAAATAAGTAAAATAATCAATTGCTAACTTTTCTAAGCTATTAACAATTGTGTATGTATAAATTTTTTTTATTTTATTGTTTGTATTGTTTTTTTAGAATAATGTTTTATTTTCTATTCAAATTTCTTTTTATCGTATTATAATATTGTAATATTAAAATGATAAGAAGTTTATAAAATTATTTATAAATCATAAAAGAATCCACCTAAATTGACTTTTCATCATCTTATTCATTTCTAAATTATTTTAATGAACATGATGATCAACATATAAAAATAAAATAACAAAATTTACGCGTTCTTAAAAATATAAATTTAAAAAATTTTAATTTATATATCAATTTTTCAATTTTAACGAATGATAAGTAAGAATTTAATAATAGATCATTGTTGTGTCATCACAAAACTGAGAAAGAGTTGTTAAATCTTAAGGTTTTCACCTTATCTCTTATATTACATCTTATGTTAATATCTAGTATATATAGCATACTTGTTACATAGCAGTATGAATAATGTAATAGCATTTTTCCTCGTCTTCTATAGACGTTTATATTTCTCTCATCAATTATATTTATGTATCTCCTATTTTCACGGGAATTATTTGAAAATCGCTGATATGAAATCGATATTTTATGCGACGACTTAATAGGATGTCTATAGTACATTACAGATGATAATCGGACATCTATAGACGGACGGTTCTAGAAATATAAAAGAATTCTTCGATCTGTAGATGTCCATAGCGACAGGAAAGAATTAATATCAAGATAATAACGAATACGTTGTACGTTCCTAATGCTAGAAGCTCGGCTTGTATCGTCATCGGAAGACATATCGTTTACGAACGGTCTACACATATGCGATGTGTAAAGATATATATATATATATATATATATGTCCAGCTGCAAAGATGCAACAACGTGCTGGTACAACGAGAAAGTCGAATGAAAATCGGGCGATGAGCCAAGCAATGAGCGAATCTATGATCGAAACGCTATGATCGTGATGGAACACGATCGAGGTCACAATAACATGTTATTTCGAGATCTCTGTGAAAGAGAAGGGCATCGCCCGTAACAATACCGCGTAATAATTCATTATGCGAATGGGCGCAACCGCCTCGACTACAACAGCGTATTTGCAACATCGATATTGCGTTTACGGTTTTTTTCGCCGGTATCGGGCGAAATTTATGCAGCCGCATTGAAATTGCAGTAGCCCGTACATTCACGGACGCGTCGTACGTCAAATAAATTCACATTCGGTAGCAGAAAAAGTAGAGAATTCATCCTGACAGGACGTAGCTTCGATCTGTACCACGGCGAACTATGGAAGAGGAGACGGAAGAGGAAATATTATCCAGTCGGCAAAGATACATTTTTCAATTCAACTCTGAACGAAACGTAAATCAAACATCATCGTCCCCATACATTGCAAAATGTGCTTATTACATTTGATAAGAAAAATTATCAATAATTTTATGGAAAAATGCAATAAAAACAAGAAAGATCTTGATAACAAATAATTAGTCTTGACATTCACACAAAAAATTGACGTTTTGTAATCTCTGTCGAACTTTTAACCATTGAAAAGTTTTGTTAACTATTGAAAAGTAGTTTATCATTTCTAACATATGTAACATATGTAAGTATTAGTGATATTGACATCGGCGATCTTACAAGAACGAACGAAAGAATCAGAATTCATTTCGTTCGCACGACGTATACTGGTCGACGATAAGTATCTCTATCTGGTGACAAAACGCTTAGCCAGGCCAGGCT